TATCAAAAACAAAGATCATAAAATTCACAAATTATAAACGCTTAATATAATGTAGCGGTAAAGTATTTGTATTCAAAAAATTTTAAGCACAAACCTTTCCTGCATATATATGTACAAAGTGCATTGATCTCTAACACAAGCAATAAATCCAGGTCCATATAAACAGATCCGTTTATAAGTATACCCCGGACACAAAATATATTTAAAAACATTTGGGTTTTAATTATTATTATGAGATCTGAAACGGTATCAATAAATACGAAATACGAGTATTTTATTTAATTCTAATTTAAAATTCTAGTAACTTATTATCCCTTGGATATGTCTCTTCTCGCTCTATCCCATTACAATTATGGAAAGTTGTTCTCTTCTATGCTACCCATAATAAGGTACGTTTTGTTTTGCCTAGCAGTATGCAATATTGGTTACTGAATCTATTCACTGTGCTATGTGTTAGTATGTTTACATGTGTTAGCTATTTGTTACTCATAACAACAGTATCAATACAGTAAGGGCTATTGTTTTCGTTGGGAATTTGTTACCTCGTAAATATAAACATGTTGGGATTTGTTAGCAATACAACCATATGTTATTAATCTTCATCGACGTGTTCCTGTTGGTTATCCATCTGTACCTCTAACAAATGCATATGTTAGCATTTTGGTACTTTTTGTTACCATAGTTTTTCAATTTCTTTTTAATAAACACTATATTTTTCTATTATTTTGTTTATTTAATTATAGAAACGTTTTTACTTAAACTAAATATTAAAATTAATGAATACCATATAAGTACATACAATATAATTAATTTATATACATATATATATAGTTTAAATATAAGATTAGCACTAAGTAAGTACATCTAACAATACAACTTATAAACAATTACTTAAATCTGTATGCATAAAATCCAAATAGTTGGCCCCACGACGCTGCTCACCACACAACATATAAGGCCCAGTGTGATCACATAATCATCTTCTTAGTCGTCATATTCATCAGCAGATTGATCATACGATTCGATGTGTCAGTTGTGGTCCCAGTAGGCACTGTAACAGGGCTCCTAGCACTATTTTGGTGATTGTGTTTCTGCTTCGCCTTAGTGTTTTATCTATGAAGATATTTTAATTATTTTCATTTAAATAATTATCAAACAAGATTTACCTGTTGAAACGCGAAATTTTTATCTTTTTAAATTGTTTATTTCCTTCCTCTTTTAACTTGTTAATATTTCTATAAGCTTGAATATCGAGATTTTACTTTTTCTAACTTTAGGAGTCCCTATTCAATTAGAAATGACAGTGAATGTACATGTGTTGAGAATCAAATAGAGTGCGATTGTACTGTGACATGTGTTTGCTACGTCTTGAATGGTAAAAGAGTTTTATTTCAAACATACATGCATACATATTGGGAAATATTATATTTTGAATCACATTTGCACACTCAGAAAATCTTATTTTAGTATAATAAGATACTGCACTAGATTTTCATCTTCACCGATTCAAGACAACTCTAAATCGGTCGAAATCAAAAAGAAAATCTTAACAATTTTGAACACTGTCCAAGCTTCATATGACGCAATAATAGAATCTGACGATTCAGATCTACCCGAAAATTTCAAATTATCGGCTTACGCCAAAAAATTGGCATGAAGCACAATGCTGCTTAAAGGCATTAAAACTCAAACGCTACACAACAATATTCAAAGTAGGTACTACTACCCACATCAGTCGTTTCCATCGAACACAGAGGAGAACTGTTTAAACTTAGGCCTTAATGGACCAAAGATCACAACAACATTTATAGCGTCTAGGGTACAAAATAGGCTGCAACTGCCAACAAAACAAGCCAACTTTAAAGTTAAGAGAATAGGCGAAAAAGTAGTTCAAAACTGTAATAATATCTACCCCATAAGCCTAATTACTCCTCAAGCGGATATGAGAATCCTACCGCAACTAACAAATATGCTTTCAAGCTATCATATAAATAGCAAGCATTGCCGAAAGGTTTCACAGCTAGCAGAACCTAGCTGCAACACCCCCGCTGAAGTAGATATTCTATTAGGCAGCAATCTCATACCACTGATAATACTCGAATGTGTTGAGAAATTTCGGACACACTTCTGGCACAAAATACTATTTTTGGTTGGATCCTTAGTGGACAAATTACTGAAACAATTTTCACATTAACAAAACAAGTTGAGGAGATTTTCAACGAATATGATAGAGTATAAGAAGAATACCTCCATTTAGACCATAAGGACGAAGTCTGCCTTGGCAAAAAAATTATACAAGGTAAATACTACTCGTTTTATCTGTCACATCATGCAGTAGTAAAGTCAGACACAAAAAAAAACATATGTAAGAGTTATCTTCAATGCGTCAAATCCATAAGTTCGGAGAATTTCCTAAATGACATTTTATTTACGAGACCCACGCTCCAGCCAGATTTAATCCTGCTAATTTTAAATTAGCGTATATTCAAATACGTATTCAACGGGGCCGTGGCAAAAATGTATTTACAAATAGTCGTCCATAAAGACGATCAAGATTTTCAGCGAATTATTTTTCGAAAATCCTCCAGAAGTCCATTTGTGACAAATTAAAAACAGCGACATTCGGCGTTAACTGTGCTCCATATCTAGCCATTCGAACAGTCCTTGAATTGGAAGAAAACACCAATCCAGAATTTCCTCTGTCAACACAGGTGTTAAAAACAGAAACGTACGTAGACGATATGCTGTCTGGAAGTCGCAGCCTTCCACAAGCTACCGCAAATCACCCAAATATAATAAAAAATATACCAAAAAAAAATTTGGTTAACACTTATTTCCTTAAATTCGAAAAGGAAAGTACAACAAAGCTCTGGATTCAATGGAATCTGATAATACACTACAGAGTCAATATCTGCATTATTCGCTATAACAAACCGATTAATTCTATCCTCTGTGGCAAACCGTACCTATACTACTTACACCTTAAAATACTTAATCACGCTATGGCTGCCGCGGTCGGCCATAAAGTTAGAAATATCTCTATCTCAAAAATCATCTTGGTGGTCGGCAACCTTGTTTTTATTGTAGGAATAATGAAAAGAATGTACTACTCGGCAATATTTAAAAAATATGGCTCTTTATAAGCTAAACTGAATTTAAATGGTTGTTCAGGATAAAGACCCGAATTATTCTGCTTTAGTGGTTAAAGAACGGTTGTTGTACAACGTGTAAAAAGTGCTTCTGCTTCCTCCCTAGAGTCGAGACCTCAATTTCAATGAACACCTGTGGGCCTATATGGAGACGAACTTCGGGAACGCAAAGTTAATAGCAACAAGTAAAGAAGCGCTAAGTTCGAATGTAACCGAACATTTCATATACATAAAATGACAAAAAATCAACCGAAACACTAAATTTAATATATTGAGTTGATGTGCAAATAGTCAACATATAGGATTTAAAGAGAGGGGGAAAGTCGGAAATTAATATAGGGTAAATTTGGGATTAGTAAAGATATGTGCTGATTTCACTAACTTTTGACTAACTTTGGTTTTGTCATCGGTGCGAAAATGAGCTTCGAACAAAGAGCCAACATTAAATTTTGGTTTAAAATTGGTAAAACTTTTACCGAATCGTTTCAATTGAAGAAACAAGTTTATGACGATTATTGCCTATCCCTTAGCAGAGTGCACTAGTGGTTTCAACGTTTTCAAAGTGGTCGTGAGGACATAAATGAGAAATGAGCCGAAACCCAAAAAATCGCGCCTGGAGAAGTCAAAAGTGAAGATAATGCTGATCTGTTTTTATGATTCCAAGTGTATTGTCCATAAAGAGTTTGTTCCACCCGGCCAAAACCTTAATGCGGTATTTTACCTTGGAGTTTTGAAGCGAATATCGCGAAGATGGAAGTTGGCGTTTGTTGTACGATAATGCGCCGTCTCATCGATCGACGCTTGTGGCTGATTATTTGACCAAAAATCACATTTTAACAATCAACCACTCCCCGTATTCACCTGATATGGCACGGTGCGACTTCTACCTTTTCGAAAAAATACATTTGCCCATGAAAGGAAAGCGTTATGCAGACGTGGAGGCCATTCAAAAGACTTGCACCGGAATACTGGCGGCCATACCGGGCAACGAGCTAAAATACTCGTTCGACATGCTTTTGGACCGTGCAAAAAGCTGTATTAAAGCAGGAGACTATTTTGAATAAAATTAATTGATTTTGCCGATAAAACCATTTGTTCTGTCTTATTTTTAAAAGTCCTGTTTACTTTGGAAAGCACCTTATATAACTCATGCACTGATATACACCATAGGGTTTGTTAGAATAACGAAAATCATTATATGTAGTATATGGGGGTTTGGGTTATTCGTAGTCCAATAGTACACATACCGCGTTAAACTATAGTATTTCCAATATTATTCGTCTAGTTAATACTACCTTACACATTGACCGATATATGATCCTTCATCATGTTTTAGAAAGTTTCATGTTTTCAAAAAGCTGTATAAATTTTATTGAAGTCTACCGAACGGTTTTCGAGCTACAATGGACACCAGTTAAAAACATAGTTTTGAGAAAACCGCATTTGCAGTTTTAGAGGTTTTTAACGATTCAGAGCGCCAGAAACCTTTGCTAACCTAACTTAACTCGAAAAGCATTTGTTGGATTTACTTTAAGAGAATATATCTAAGATATTATACTTCAAGTAAATGAAAAAAAAATCGTTTTGTTTCAATTTCCCACTACCCCTTTTACGTTTAATTCAGCGACTTTGGTTCCGAAATAATCCGTTGACCAAACTAATTTTTACATATTATATAATTTAAAATTTTTTGGATATACATTAAAAAAATATGCCGTGCTTTTAAAATTAATTTCTAATTGAATGGTAATGATAAAATGATACAGAAAGTACTAGTACTATTTACTTTTCCTTCGCCTATACGTATTAAGATAAATATTTTTTAAAATTAATTTCTTAAATTATTTTCAGAGATGTCGTTATAGGACTTTTGAAAATTGGTACTAAAAATTTATATCTTTTCGATAGTTCGGGCCAGACGATGAAGATTGATAACGCACGTTGTATATTAGATTTTTACATTCACGATTCGAGACAGCGTATGGGAGTAGGCAAAATATTGTTTGATATAATGCTTAATGAGGAACGCTGGATTCCAGTTAAATGCTCTGTTGACAGACCATCGGAAAAGTTATTACAATTCTTAAAGAAATACTATGGCTTGGAAAAAATTATACCACAAGCAAATAAATTTGTTCTGTATGAGGGATTTTTCGACGAAGATGAAGATGCTAACAGGTACGTTTTTACATTACACAATTTATGAAAATAAGTTATTCTAATTTCTTTATACTCTCGCAATATGTTGCTACAGAGTATAATAGCTTTGCTTACCTAGCGGTTTTTTTTTATCACACAATACTTTATATACACATACTTATATAATATAAATGATCAGGATGACGAAACGAGTTGAAAGCAGGGACTGTCTGTTCACGCTGTGATAACTTCAGTAAAAACTAAGCACTTAATTAAGATACATAACTGTAATTTGGTACAGGGGATCACAGTAACAAGGGACTCCTCCTAAAATTAGTTTAATGGTGGGCGCAGCCCCGCTCTTAAATGGTTTGATGTACATATCTATCTTCCAAACTGCTTCAGTTAACTTACTGAAAGGTAGTTATTTAGCTTCTCTTTATATAATATATCTACTAAAAGTGCCATATCTGAATAAATGCGTCACAATCAATATTTTTGTGATGACAGCGTGCTCTTGAAAAAGAGGGTAAAACCAGGTGAATACTCACATACCTTATATAAATATTTAGAAATTTATCCATTTCTCAATGAAATTCAGAAAGAATCTCTTCCTGATAACAGTGTATCTACTTGCCTGGGATTGAAATAATGGATGCAATACTACACCGACTTTTTTTCCAAAAACCAAACCATTTTTTTTCTAGAAAAATCGAAATATTCGAATTTTTAAATTGAGTTTATTACTAATTATAGAATGCCTTAATAAAAGTAAAAATAAGACAGTAAATATACCATTGCAGTAAGGAAACGTGGATGGTCTCCATATATATTTATTTATTTACTTTTGTACCATAGGTTACCCAGATGAGTTTTGTATAGTGTTTTAGGTGTTAATTGTATATAAATTTGTATCCTACCGATCGCAATTTTCGGCCGATGCTGTGTCATTAAAAACATTAGCATTACATTGTGGTCGCGGTATCGATTTGTATGCGTTCATATATATTGTCGCAATATGCGTTTTCAGAGACGTCGCATAGGTCTAGTTCGACTTTGTTTTTTTGTGAAATAATTTTTCCATCGCGGTAATTGTATCTGCGAAATATCATTTAAATTTGTTTGCGAACTGATATAATTTTTCTAAACGAAGTGGTTTCTGGTTTCATATGTTTGTCCCTGTTGAATCAGGCTGTTCGCTTGTATTATAATTGGCAAAAGCTATCCTGCGGGTCGAAAAGTTAGGTATGTTTTTTAATAATAATAAATCAGTAACTAAATGCTTCAGAGACATAAAATTTTACATCCGATATGGTACGAAAGGGCTTTATAGGAGCCGGTGTCAAAATCGGACGATGGGCGTAGCATCGCCCCCGTCCATATCTCGGAACTTACTTGACTGATTTCAACCATATTCGGTATGTAATATTACCCTGACATTCCTACATTACAGTGTGAAAATAGTCGAAATCAGACAAAATCCACGCCCACTTCTCATGTGATCTTACTTACCTCACATGCACATATCATGTGCTTTCCTTTCTCTGGCTCTTTACAGCAGAACAGCTAATATCTCAGTTATTTGACAACTTTGAAATACTTAAAAGTGAATCTGTCATGCGTTATTACTTTCTTTCGTTTACTGAATGTTTATTCTACATAATACATGAGTTCGTCACGAAGATAGTGTTAATAGAGTACTGATCTATTTAGTTATATTTTTGGTGCTAAATATTTCACATGCCCTTAGAAACAATGATGTAGGCGAATTCACAGAAATCTGTGCAGTCTATTAGAAGAATTGAATGGGAGAGTGAAACACTACACCATATTTTCTTAAAACTCAGTAATTTAATACGTGATCTCAATTTATCAAAAAATTATCGAACAGTTTTGGTCCCATATTGAAAGAGAGAAATTTGTTATGGAGAGATTACGGTAAGTCGTGTAAAACAAGGCCTTTTTTATGAAACAGTTTAAATATATTTTTTACATTTGAAGAATATTCGTTTAAATTTTATGGAGAAATATATTATATATATAGCATGATGCAATGAACGGAGTAGTTTCAATTTCATTTGTAAAAAGTTTCTGCATGGAACCATACTGGTCAAGGTCGGTATGATCGCTGGTCCATGAAAAGAAATTGTCAACTGGGATTTAATAAAAGAAAAGCTCATAAAAGGCGTTTTATTGAAATATTATATATCATACATACATATGTTTTGAACATTTTTCCCTCTATTTACTTCGATGTATCCTTGTTTTTCAAAATAAAACTGACGTCAATAATATATCTGTTTTGTCTCAAGTTTTCCGATTTTTGTAAGGTAAAGTTTTAATAAAAATAAATTAGAGCCAATCTTACAAAAACCATTGATAATTTCATGAATTGTGAGCACAAATATATCCTTATATCGAATTTAGTTTTACTTTAGAACCACCAATTTTGAAAAAACCGTACGTATAAAATTAATATAATACAATTTGAAAAACACTTGGACAAATGTAGAATATATTAGAAAACATATTCTTAATTGTCAAATAGAAAGAATTCAATAATTGATTCCTGGAAAGTATACACATGTATATTTTTCTTCAAACAAAAATTTTCACAATACTCGCGTATCGAAATATATAAATATATAAGCATTTTTAAATGGAAGCCAGAAGAGGCAATCTTCAGGCTCTACCCAAACAGCAATCATCGAAAATGCAGGTCGTAGTAAGTTTATTGAGAAATGTACATATGTATAGATTTGGCAAACATTTCCATTTGTTTTCTTTTGCAAGAAAACGACCAGCGAGGTGAGTCTCACACCCAGTCAGGCTGCAGAGCAGGCCAAGATAAATGTAAGTTGTTATAACTTCCCTCTGAATTTATTAATCTATTAGTGATGACTTAGGAGAGAAAAAATCCGTTGGATGCATTAAGTCGCTTATCTTTACGACCACAAGGTGTAGAAAAACGATCGGTAAATTTATTTATGCTTTAATTCCGAAAATAAAATCCTTTCTAATTAACACTAACGTGCTTTAATAAGGGTCTGCAAGATGTTGATGACGAATACTTTAAAAAAAATATGTTTTCCCGTACACATTTAAATAGACATGCGGTAAAATTATCGAATTTTTAAATGATTTAACATTAATATTATATATTAAATAAGTTGTTTATTTATATTTAAAATCTATACAGGGGCTAAATGACTCTTATGAGCTTCAAGGTCACACAATTTCGATGGTAAACCTTATTATATATATTCACTCGTAAATTTCACCAATAAAGTTTTTCTCTTGAAACGCAGGCGCAAGGTGATGTTTCCCATACACAATCGCAGCAGTATCAAGGCAAACAGCCGTACAATCTAAATTCCACTCACGCTCATCCAACATCTTTGTCAGCACAACCAATTCAACAAACAACAGAAATTTTATCACAGCAACAAGCTCCCAACCATCAACCCCAAACAACTTCAGCACCAATGCAGTTTAAAAATCAGTTCAAAGAACCACATGTAAATTATTCTTCCTACTTCTTTTTGAATATTTATAAATAAATTATCAGTACGTACGTTTTTAATCTCACTCAATTCAAATCTTTTATCTTCATTTGATCATATTTGCAGTTATCACAGCCACGAATTGAGGTCCGAAATCAACAAACTCAACAACAACAACCTATACAATCTCCTGTACCTGCTCCAGAACCGGAATTGTGCACAACTTGCCCTAATTGTCAAACAACGATTTACCTTGTTCGAGGACACGATACCAGCAGTGAGCCCGCACACGGTTATACCTCAAACCAACATGATACCACTGGTAGCACAACTGCTAATTAGCACATTTCTTGGATTGCGATCGTTACTGTGCGCTCTTTCAAAATATGCAATTTATTTTTATGTCAAGCCAAATTTTTTTTGTTATATAAATTTTTATTGTAAAATGTTTAATAAAAATTGTAGCTATCTTTAAAATGCACTTTTCAACCTTAAGTAAACTTCGACTTAGTATGGTATACTATAGTAGTTTTTTTTTTATTCAGATAGATTCTGGAAACCGAGTTAAAGCGGAAATTAAAATATTGCAAAAACGAGTGAATTTGGTTTTGGTATTCGGAAAAACGTTAAATTTATTAATTTTCGGTCTCGTTTTTGTTCCTTCAAACAAATGAATCAAAATAATAATAAAAAATTGTGCATTAAGTATATTTGCAAAATTCAGAAGAGATTATTGATTGTGGTTAGAGTGAATTTATCAAATGTGTCACACCAGTTTCTCAAGCTTCAGAATTGCCATCCGATCCGTTCAAACCTGATTAGCTTAAGAAAACTTTTTTAGAAACGCAAATTTACTGGTTTTTTACCTTTTCCCAGCCATAGATATATTTTTCTGGAGGACCATGTAACAGGTGCTTTTTACGCTTTTATTAGTTTGGGTTGTATGTATGCAATGGAATCTTAGAGCTCAATTTTGACCGGTTTCCAGAAGTCTGGTCAACTTGAAACTTTGCATACTTGTCAAGGACCGATAATAATGCAATAATTTGATAACAGTTTCCCATTATTTTAAAGGTGGGCGTAACCCCGCCCCTAAATGGTTTAATATATATATCTTCCAAACCGCTAAAGCTAACTCAACCAAATTTGCTGAGAGGAAGTCCCTTTTTTATACGTTGTGAAAATGGGCAAAATCAGATAATAACCACGACCCCTCCCCATACAACAGTTATGTTAAAATATACTAAAAGTGCGATAACTGGTGAAATAAATGCGCCATAAGCATTAAATTTCACAAACAAGATGGTAGGGAAGAGCTTTATAGGAGTAGGTGTAAAAATTGTAAAGTTGGCTCCACCAACCTTAAGGTGAAATTTTATATCTCAGAAACTATCGAATATTAAAAAAACTGAAGGTCCTCCGAATATATCATTCGTAGGAGCTAAAGTGATGTTAAGGTCAAATATTGACGTGTCAAAAGGTTTAGTGAATGGTAATATGGGTTTTATCACGAAAATCGGCCAAATTTCTGCAGAGTCCAAGTATACGCGGACGACGTCCTGTCAGTCCGTATTGATTTCGGTTCAGATGGGGTGCACATGATTAAATCGATATCGATAAAGTTCCCAGCGAAATACAGCTATGGAACTGCGGAGAGACGAATGTTACCATTAAGTTGGGCTGAATTGGGTTTCAACCGTCCACAAGAAGCAAGGTTGTACAGTTGATCAAGCAGTTGTTTATCTAGGCTAGCGACTGTTTGCTGCTGGACAAGCTTATGTATAAGATCTTTAGACGGTATTCGGATTATAGAACTTGTTTACTCTAAGTTAACAGGAAAAAACCCCATGCAACAGTGTAGCTTTAGATGAAGTTACTAGATTACAAAATAGTTCGTAAGACATTTCCATACTACCGCATGTCCGCGAATAATTAATTGATAAATCGAACTAAAAAATTAAAAACAAATAAGAGTTTATATTATAGTAGTAGCAGATCAAACAATCAATCATGATTAATTACTTTAAAATAAAATTAAAGTTATTAAGACAATAATTCAATTCAGAGTATTAAGCGTTAGGTGCTTGATATATTTAATGTGACAATCATTCTATCTGCAACTATTTATAAGAGGAGAGTTATAAAAATCTAGTAAAAAGTTATGAAAATATATTATATTATCGGTAATCACAACGATTACATAATATTCACCTATCAAAAGCATTCCAATTTTTAACTCTTCACTTAATTTCTTGGAAAATACGGGCCTCTTCGAGTACTCAGGGGTCGTTATGAAACACTTTTTAAAGCGATTGAGAAGTTGACTTTAATTTAATTTGCTTAGGAAAATTTTTGGAATTTTTTACAAACATTGTTTTTGGTAAAAATTAAACAGAGGACATTTTCACTCACAATCGTACTGAATATATTCAAAATCGATTAGGTCTGTTAAGAGAAAATAAATATTTTCCAAGAGCACTCAAAAAAATTTTCAAAAATTTCAAAAAATCATCAAGGTTGTGATTTTTATTCAGAACCTCAGAACCAAAAAACGTTTATTGTACGAGAAAACCGCGACCATCGAAAAAATGCAGGTACACTTGGAAGATTTTCTCTCTAATGCCTTGTTACAATCCTGTAATGAATCCCGCTTAAAAAAAATGTATGTATCAGCTTACTAAGTAACGTATTGTCTAAAAGGCTTAACCATAGCCTTCTGTTAAATAGATTTAAGATTTTACGCCAAATTTAAAAAATCCAAGTTATGCCTAAATGGGTGATCCTCAAAAAAATAAAATTGGTGTCCTTAATGACTACAAACCAGTATTGGTAACAACGAAGTTATTTTTTTATTAATAGAACTACTAGATGTATAATTTTATAAAATACGGTACTATATGTACTAATTTATGAAACACACTTATTTTTTTTTTACTAGTTTTTCCCGCGGTTTTTCTCGTATTAAATATAAAAAAAAGATTATTAACAAAACCAAATATCTAAATACACAGTATGTACACAAATACTCTACTGCGATGATCATCTTCTTGTTTGTGCTGGTAACCAGAAAATTCCATTTTGTCTAATTAACGCTTTTGATACATTTTTGTTTTTTGTTGTTTTCAAATTTCAAATTTACAAGCAGATTTTGCTTTTACTAATACTATTAGACACATGTGTACAAAGTGAAAACGTAACAAACAAATTTACATTCACATTTATAATATTAGTATGAAAATGAATATGATCAACAAAAATATACTACATACATACATAAGTATGTATATCCAAGGAAGTACCTTGAAGATCATTGCTTCAGTCTGTCCCAAATGCTAAATCCGAAGAATATCATCATTAATTAATTCGACCGGAAATATTTTTAAACATAATTCAAAATTTATCCATGCAAAATCGACCATTTCCTTAACGGTTTGAAACAGTGTGAACAAAATTTAAAGGGCTACCAACTTTAGAGACAGATATAGCGTTTTATATATAATATATAAATGATAGAGATGAAGAGACGAGATGAAATCCGGGTGACTGTCTGTCCGTCCGTACGTTTGTGCAAGTTGTAGCTTGAGTAAAATTTTTAATATCGTAATGGTACGCATGTTCCACGCCCATAAAGTGGCGTTAAACGAAAACCTACTCACAACTAAGCACTAAATAAAGATATAGAACTGTAAAAATAATGTATTAAGGTTCGAGAAATATTTTCTAAGTTACAGACATAATTAGCAAGTCGGCGCCGTGCGGTCTAGTATGTTTGTGGAACTTTAAACTCGTTTTTCTCAAAACTACGCTTTTAAAGTCGGTGACCACAATATCTGAAAAACCGCTGAACTGATTGGCTCAAATTTCCGCACAAGTCGTTTGTCGAAGGGTTTTTAAATACAATTGAAATTATTAATTTTATCAACAATTTAAAACGATTTTTTTTTTTATGAAAATTAATTTTTTTTCTTAAGCTGCAATTTTGTAAAAAAGTGATATCTTTCTAATTCCTTCGATTAACGGCAACACCTTTTCATAAACTAACAGAATCTATTTTCGTTTTTGATTTCAGATGATTCTTCAAGGAGTTATGTAGGTCACGGCGAGATACATTTTTTTCGAGGATCCTTGGGAGATTGCATACAAAAGACAGAAAAATTAATATTTTTGTTAAAAAAAAATTAGTTAACACATTAAAAGATGTATAATAATATAGAAAACCTTTATTAAAAAAAATAACACTTAAAAAAAAAAAAATTCCAAAAAAACTGCTTTTTTCTGACGGCCAGACTAAGTATAACCCCTTAAGAACTCCTACTGACACTGTAAGAATGGATGAAATCGGATAATGACCCCGCCCACTTCCTAGATTAAGGGTCTGTTAAAAACTATTAAATGCTCGATAAATCAATAAATAAATACGCCAGACATTAAATTTTAAACCCTAGCTGGTACAAGACTTTATGGGATCAGGGGTCAACATAAGTCCATTGTTGTCCGTTGTGGCCCACATTTAGGTGAAAACCCATACTACATGACCACTTTCAACCAAATTTGGTGTGTGGGGTAACATATGTGAATGATATAGAATGAATACGACGCCTACTTCCCATATAACAAATATTTAAATTTCATATTAATATTTAACTTTACAGTATACAAATCAAACATCAATAAATTTATCAAAGGTTCTTTGAACAAATTGTGTCCTCAAGGTGTTACATCTTACGCCCAAAAATTTTCGAAAACGGACTATACTTTTATAGGAACCCAGACACCAAATATGTGAACCCCAGTGCATGTGGCTAATTTTTTACCGAACATACCGGTCAATCTGTGAGGTCTAGTATTAAAATTCGGGGAGAATATTTTTTTTTATGACAGAATGCCCTTGTGCCAGCAATGGGTAAAATCGGGTACCTTCCTAGCCCCCATACACCTAATATAAATATTTTCGAACTTCCGGTTGACTTTGTACCAGGGACCGTAAATAACGATTATTGTTGCGATTTTTAAATAATAAAATCAAGCACTTAGAATCGGCATACAAAAAAAGCAGATAACGTCGGGTGCGTTCGAGCGACGTAATAATTGCAGCAGTACAGCTACTGTGTTGCATATTTGCTGATACTCTGCTGATGTGCAGAGAAAAATTTAGTGTTGCCGATTATTTGCATAAATTGCGTGCAAAAATTCACGCAGAACGTAATACTTTGATAAATTTGCAACACTGCTGTCGTGATTGCCATCTCGAACGCACCCGTCATGTTAATCATTTTACGACGATCTAAGCATTTCCTTGAAGATTTTTTTAAACTCGGAATTTTATGATTTTCTTCACCGATAATGATTCATTTCACAAAAAATCAAATAATAATTATTATGTTTTAGCGTAAAAAAAGCAGTAAGTTAAATATTTCATTTTTCTAAATAAAATTTAGTGAAAAATTAATAATTCGAAAACAGCAAGGCTAATCTTTTATAATAAAAATGCTGATAAAATGCATGAAACACATAAAAACCATTTTGAAAGTGTTATTATTTTTTTTTTTTTTATGATTAAAAAAGATGAATGTCACGTTCTCGATTCTGGAATTACCCAAATTATTATACTAAGCTAATTGTGTGCGAAGTTCGCGAATGGCTGCTGTACAATATCGCCAAACAACTTAAAACGCAAGTGAGTTTTGAGACCTTAGAAAATTATCCGATCGGCAAGGAGCTTTAGAAATAAATAAGGCAGTAAATGTCGCAACGCATGTAAGATGTATTTGGTGTAAAAAGTGAGCCACAACACAATAAATTAAATTAAAATAAAAAATAGGTATATTGTATAATATTTTTCAATAAATATAAAATGTTCGTTCAACACTCAATTTTGATATATAAGTATAAAGGTTAAAAACAATTGCTTTCTCTTTTTTAATTAGTTTTTTGTGTATTAATATAAACAATTTTGAACGCCTCAGTATATGTGCTAAAATAAAGTATTTTTTACAACAATTATTAGAGTGCGTTCACATATTTTATTGTTCTAATATCTTTTGATCACCTTTAGAATACATTCATATGCATTATAGACGACAAACGAATATATCAATAAAATAATTAATCCAGTTATTTAGGTTTCCACCATTATCTTTGTATTTAATGCAGTTTAAGTTCATCTAAATATAAATGTATTAAATAAAGACATTCAAATAAGTAAAATGCCAATGTGAATTTATTTAGATTAACTATTATAATATGTCACGAAAAACTCGCCGTTCCTTCACATATAAATAAAATTAAACCTGTAATTTAAAATGAATTAAATGTTTATAGACTATAATAATTTAAAAATAAATGAGCAATATTCATACCTGCATAAGGCCTGAGGAAGCGATGATATAATTGGACCATATCCTTGAGAATTGTCATAGAGCTCAAATAAGGGTGCTGCTACAAGCTTGTAATTTTTGGGAACAGCAAATAAAGCTAAATTATGATAGTAAAAAATAAACAGAGTTATAATTTGAGTTTTATATTATTTGGAATATGTTATCCTAATATCTTATTATACCAAGCGTTCTTTTAGTAAAAAAAGTACGACAATAAAGAGTTTTTTATGAGTATCTAATACTAAATAAACTTTCCTTTATATTTAATGGTTCAGTTTTTAAAGGTTTGTAAGGGAGTAATGTTTCCTATCTTTTATCTAATAGATCTTATGATATGTGGGCTTTATAGTTTATTGTATAAGAAAATAAACTTAAAAAATACTAATTCTATTCTATATAATATTCATCCCATCCTGTTTAAAATACTTGTAACCGAAGAAAATAGTAAAGATACTCGTATAAGATGAACAAAAATGAAAACAGTAAATAATAGAGAATATGACGATGATATACGGAACATATTAACATAACATAAGCTACGAAGTTAGTGAAATCGTACTTTTTACTACAACTATCCAAGTAACTATTAGAAATAAAAATACTATTTGGACTAAACGAAATCCAGAAATGCCCACACAATATAGTACCGGATACGTTGACATTGGCTGTACCATGTGAACCGGTGTAACAATTAGACGATAGGCGTAGCACCCCACTCCTCCCCTTTAGGTTAAATCACATACTTCAAGAACGGTTTGATCAATTTCAAATAAATTTGGTGTATAACATTATCCTGACACCCATATACCAGACCAATCGGTCTACAACCACGCCTTTTGCACATATAACACAGTTTTAAATTTCTTTACAATATATGTATATACATATATCAAACACCAATGAAGATATCGGAATAAAACTTTCCACATATATGTTCGAAATCCGACAATAACTTACCAAGACCCCTATACAGAATATGTGGACCTCAGTAACTGCGACTGATTTTTCATCGAAAATATCAGCAAATCTGTGACAAATTTGGAGGGCATTTTTCCAGATAATAGTATGTCATGGTGTCGAATATTAATAAAAGCGGGTCAATGCTTCGCCAATCCGTAATACCGTACTATGAGTGAATATGCCAAATATTTTAGCAAAATTAAGTTAAGATACAATGTTGAATATACGAGTACCATAGATTGATTGCCCCCCATTTACTCCTGCCATAATTTCTTTTAAAAGTTCAGACCGTTATAAAAATGAAACTATAATACAGTTTTTATAAAGGTTAATTTTAATTAATGAATTAATGGAAGTGTTTGCGTAGGTTTTTACGTTTTGCTAATTAAAAACTTCAACGGTGAAACATTTTTCATCGTTAAAAGGATAACTTTCCAGGCCGTACACAGTGTGCCACTTCTTCAGTGCTTGCATCTGTTGATAATTTGCTCCAAGCGCTCGTCTTAAGAAGACCAGTTTAACGACGATAAGCATTCATGTGGAGAACATATCGAATAAGTGTTAAAAAATTCACTTGGGCTTTTTCCACACTTATGTGAAGCAATCGTCGCTATACGTTTTTCTTTAGCTTCGCTCTTAATTGTTAATAAGAGAAAGTAAACACAGAACTGATTACTATATATGGGTAGACACCGCATAGAAATTATAATAAAAAGTAACGGCTTTTTTCTGCGAATTTGTTCCCGTTGTATGCATTGTTAACTTTGTAACAAAATGTATGGCAAGACTAAACAGACTGTCGTTATTTTAGTGGACTCTATATCGAATACATCGGTCAATTTTGAGTTATCTTAATAAAATTTGCGAGGAAGCATGGTCGCAAGTATACTTAGTTTAACACAGGAATACAATCTATCAGCTCAGCTCTCTATTATACACACCACAGACAAGCCAACATAATTTCATATACCTAATATACTAAATATCTTCCCATTAGTTAAGTTTATATAGAATTTATCGGTATTAACGCAAGATATTTAAATGTTTTTCGGTTGTAAAAATTATGGATATCTTAAGTATCTTACCATATCACTAAAAGATGAATATAGTGATTTGAGTTAGTTATATAAATTACTCTGACAAAAAGCAAAATGTCATTACATTCAGAGCAGAGAGACTTTTTTCATTAAATTTTATTCAAATATGGCAACACTTCAAGAAATATTTTATGCTGTTATATGGAATGGTCTCTCTAGTTTTCAATGCCCACTTCGGTTGAGTTCCATGATTATTTAAATTTGAATAAATACTGTTCAAATCCAAAGCGCTCGTCAGCACTTTCTGAGCTGATGTGAGGTAGTATGTAAATAATTATGTTGTTGAAAATAATTGTCAGCATTTTTAATATTTTTATTGTCCGAAGGATTTTACATTTACTTAGGTTTGTAACAAAAATTAAACATTGAAAAATTGGTAAATCATCATACCTGCTCAATTTTCAAACACTAAGAAACTAAAGAACTGAACCTCATTTTGCGAAAAGCTGGATGTTCGGACTTGCAGGAGGGGCTTTCAGTTATAATATAAAATTTCAATTGGTGTCATCAGCAAAATATAAAAAACAAGACGATATTAACGCAAAGTTGGGCAGGCCTAAAAGGCTCACTCTTGAAACAGAAAGGACTTTACGGCGTCTTATCATGGTGGAACATGAACGACGCATCTAAAAATGCTGTGAAGGATTACAAAGTGTTATTGTCGTCTTTAGGCACTAGAGTATGCAACAATACCATTCGAAATTCGCTGTAAAGTTCCAATATGCGTGCCAGACCATTGGTTTCTTAATCGTATTGTACATAGCGGCTCGAATAAAATTTGGAAAAGAACACAAAAACTGGACGAGCGAACAGTTCAAACTAGTGGTTTTGTCTGACGAAACGAAAATTAATCGTATTAATTCAGATGGACTCATTTGGACATGGTATGACAAGCGACGCGGTCCCATGGATAGAAATATGCTGTTCATACTTAAATTCGGAGGTGGCTCACTTATGGTGTGGGGTTGTTTCTGTTAGCATTGTGGAGGATTCACTTATTCCTAGCTTCGAGATGTTTGTATCCGAACCCGTGACTTGTTATACATCCAATACAATGATCCTAATACCGCCCGCATAACAAAATCTTTGTTCAAAAATAACGGAAGTTGGCTGATGGAATGGCCAGCTCAGTCACCCGATAAGAACCCCAACGAAAATTTACGGGCGATTGTAAAAAAATAAACGGTTAATTGCTCAAAGAAAGACACCAAAACCCATAAATGAACTCTGGACTCAATTTGATCGAGTTTGGAATAGTTTTTCTCCGCATACTTTAGATAATCTAATTATCTCTATGCCTGACCGTATTAAAGCAGTCATAAAAGCTAAAGAAGGGACCACAAGTTATGAGTTACTTAACTTCAATCGTCACTTTACCTCTAAGTTCAAATATTTTTCACATGAATTGCATTACTTATTATTATTATTGCAATTGTTTTCATTGTCCATTTTGGATTTTCCTTATAAACTCGAATAATTTTTTCGCGCACTTCCAGTTGACTACTCAGATTATTAAATGAACTACTCGATTATGTTAAAAAGTGTTTAATTAAATATAATTTACTTTTCGTAAAAAAAAATTTCATTTGAATGTTTATTTTTCTGGATAAGTAGGTGTTGAACAGTATCACAAACAAAGTTGCGCGAAGGCCACTCTAGATTCGCGTGGCAACTCTAGCACTTCTTTTGCGATGGGTGGTGGTTTAATTCCAAAGAAGCCTTTTACTGAAAGGGAGTTAGTGAAGATACTAATAGCTACATTGCGAAGACGTTAAGCGCATGTCTAAAATTCGTCCAAAAGGAGTCTTATGTTCTGATCAACCTCTTTCTAAAATTGTTATCTTGTCAAATAAATAATTTTATCTGTTTGTAGACTTTTATTGTAAAATATATGTATATACTTATATTAATAGTGGTGTTGCTACATTTATGTGAAATTAAATTTGTTAAAAATTACAAAAACAATTTATTTCGCCTACAAACTTACTTATTTCTGGAAAGGTCGTATATCGGATTGACGAGTTTAAAGCTCTTCTTAAACTTTTTAGGCATTCTATACTTAATTTTTGAAAACCAATACCTATTTGGTTAACTTATAATGTTAAATAAACACTACCGCCCATATCGAGTGT